ATACATACAGTTTAGTATTTGAACTACACATAATTACAATTAACATTCATAGTGCGTTCCCCAAAGATGTTGAGAAGGTGGAGGTTGTTCAATAGTTCTTCATCCTAGTGTAGGGGATGGAGGCTGACTAGAGGAGGACGAGGCTGGTGACAATTTCTTCATCATGTTGGATATTTCTGTCATGCATTCCCTAAGGATGTCAACTGTTTCTTCTATTCTTGATGCGAACGAGTTGAAATCACTTTACAACTGATCTTGTTGTTCCTGCATTTTCCTCTCAATACGTGAAAAACTCTTTTCTTGAAACCTTTCGATCCGATCAATTCTGCTTACTATTTCGTCTAAGGTCTGAGAAGACATTTCTTTTATATTCTGAGAAGATCTAGGTTCAATACTCGTTTTCCTTCTTTTGCGCACATAGACTCGTCCTTCATTTTCCCCTTCTGGAACATGGACACCTTCCTGAACCGTTGCCTCTTCCTCCATTTCATCCCTAATCAGCAACCATTCTCCTGACACATTCTTTTTAATCAAACCCATTTTAGACAATGTGACATCCCCCAACAAATTATTTGCAGAAAATGTTATTTTATTGGCTTCATCTGAAGGGGTGATCTCAAAACCCAACTTCTCACATATTAGCGTAACAACCATCCCCTAATAAATGTCACCTGTTTCCGGTTTAATCTCTCCCAACTTCTTAATCAATAACTTTGCTGAATTTACTTGCTTCCCTGTTATTGCTGCTTCCATCAACAATAAATCCTTCACTGTCACATTTTCATTTGTCTCTTTCCTGCCATTAAATGTGAATGTCAGAAATCTGTGAAAAACTCTCATGACAGGATTCTTTAACTTTGTAGATTTACACCTATGTGGATGATAAACCCCTATTCTAGAAACATCCGTCCAAGCTTGTTTGGAATCCCACGTTCTTGATACGTTTTCCAAACCTTCAAAATCAATCCCTATTCAGTTTGCTAAGTCCTGTGGCCTCACTACATAATTCTGATTCTTTAATCTAAAAAACATTGTATATGCCATAAAATCATCAGTACTTGTCTCCACAACTTCCAAACTACTAAAAAACTGATAAATCAAATGCTTATATCCGTCATATCTAATACTCACCAACTGGTCCCATTTCAAATTACGGATCCAACCATTAATCTCATCACCTAAACCCAATCTAGTTATAAATGCTAAATCCAAACTTCTTCCAAGACAAATATCTCTTTTCGCCATCTCTTTGTATTGTTTTTATGTTGCACATCTTGAAATTGGACTCCAAATGACGATGTGCCTCCACCTGGAGTGGTTGTGTTTTTAGCTCTTACCATTTTTTGCTTTCTTCTATAACCAGCAACTTCCTGGAAAAAAAACATATCCATAAGTAATTCATGTTATATGACAAAACATATATGACATTAGACCACCAGATTGTACCCTTTTAAACCAATATTACATCCAAGATATGTGGTTCAACCAATCCAACTTAGGCATCACTTGAATGAACTAGAAAGTAGAAAGACATTTTATCATTGTCTCTAATGCACATAATTTTCTCCTAAAACTAACAAATAAATCAAGCACATCACACATCTATCCTCCTCTGCAATAGGAAAAAGCATAGTTACTAGCAAAGTCCAAAGGCCAAAAAGCTTCCTCACAATTATCACAACCATAATCTTAAGCATAAACTTTAAAGCACATACAACATAACCATGTATCCTACTTTAAAAGCATACTATCGAAATCAATCACATTGCAGACAATCGAAAGAGAAATTTATCAAAATGGCAACATATTTTCTCCCCAGTTCTTCCCATACTAGTCTTTTTAAAATGACAAGTCAAGCAAAAATGAACCGAGAAAGAATATTTCTATTGCACCATGCTCGTATAGCCTGAAAAATAAGTATATAACAGACTCTGAATTTTGGTGCATACATTTTGTTCAGAAAATATATATTAAAATTAAATCTGAGTAAAAAAGAAAAAAAAAAAAAAAAAAGCAATAAGAAGCAACCCAAATTAGCTTCTCAAACCTGCATTGAACTTGCACATTAAACTTGCAGCTCAAATCAGCTTCTCAAATCAGGCATTATAAAATCTGCATTAAACTTGCACCTTCAATCAACTCCTCAAATCAACTTCAAAATTGCACATTAAGCTTGCTGCTTAAATCAATTCCTCAAATCAACCTCAAAATTGCACATTAATCTTGCAGCCTAAATCAATTCCTCAAATCAACCTCAAAATTGCACATTAAACTTTCAGCTCAAATCAACTCCTCAAATCAGGCATTATAAAATCTGCATTAAACCTGTAGTTCAAATCAACTCCAACTCAACTTATTAAACTTGCAGCTCAACTCAATCCACTTCAAATTTGAACATTAAACTTTCAGCAAAAATGCTTTATAATCCTGCATTAACCTGTAGTTCAAATAGACTTCAACTCATTCATTAAACTTGCAACTCATCAACCAATATTTAGAAGCACCGAATCTGCAGCTCATCTCAAACCTGCAATAGCTTAAACTAATCTCCAACTTACTCAATCAGTTAGGAACAACAACAACCAAAAAAAAAAAAAAACCGATGTTTTGCATTACAGTGTCTATTGACAAAAACAGATGTTTAAGCCTGAATTGGTAGTTCAAGCTCCCAACTCTGATTGTTTATAACTCTGATTGGCATAAGATAGAGCATTCGAACAACCTATACAAACGGCCTTCAAAGAGAGCAAATCACACAACCAACAAAAATGTAAGCTTTTTCCAAGCCAAAAACACTCAAAACATAATACTTCTATTTATCAATCACACAAACCAGTCCCATCAAATTGATTGAATTTCTCTTTATCAACTCAACTCCATTCAACACAAATGTAGAATCCAACACATTCATCCAACATAAAAAAAAAAAAAATTGAAAAACGAAAGTGTCTAATTACCGATGGCAGATGAGGAAGACGAAGAACAAGAGCGTAGATGGAAGACGAAGATGAAGACTGCGGCTGTGTTGTTTTAATTTTAAAAACTTCCCCCAAATTTTGTTAACCTAATACGTTTTTTAATTACAGTACGAACGCCCGTCCAAAACTAAAGGACGGCCGTCCATTCCTTATGGATGGACGTCTATTCCTTATGGATGGGCGTCTATTACTTACGGACGATCATCCTTATATAATGGACGAGCGTCCATTACTTACGGACGGCCGTCCATACATAATGGACGAGCGTCCATTCCTTACGGACGCCCGTCCACATGTAAGGGATGCCCGTCCACAATTTATGGACGGGCGTCCAAAGATTTTATTAAATTTTTTTAAATCCACATTATAGACGGGCGTCCATTCCTTACGGATGCCCGTCCACACGTTAGGGACGCCCGTCCACAATTTATGGACGAGCGTCCCAAGTTTTTTTAAAATTTTTATATTTACATTATGGATGGGCGTCCTTTATTTGCGGGCACTCGTCCAAAATTAAGAGACAACCGTCCATAACTAATGAATGGCCGTCCCTAAATTTTTTTTAATTTTTAAAAATGATTGTTTATGGACGGGCGTCCATTAACATATGAATGCCTGTCCAATATTTATGGACGGCCGTCCCTAACTTTTTTTTATATTTTTTATTCTATTTACTGATGGATAGACATCGTTTAAATGAAGACGTCCGTCCTTAGTAAATGGACCTCCGTCCATATAATGTGGACGAGGGTCCATGTAAGTGAACGACAATCCATGTTTGATGAACGACCATTCACTAGAAAAAAATTTAATAATGTAAAATGTGTTGAATGGTGTGAGTCACAGGACATATAAACCGATACAAGATTTCAGTGTAAAAACCCCGATGTCTGTAACATTGTTGAATAATATGATCCATCATCTTCTAAAGCGGCATTTGATCATAAAAGACGATGGATTTTTCGCTGATTCCATTAGAATATTAGATTTTCATATTTTGACAAATTTGCTCGCGTTGGTCCTGGTGGTAACAGCTGCTGGCCATCATTTTCATCAACTTACATAAGTTTTGTTTTGTTTTTTTATTTTTCATTAATAATAATATGAAAAATAATTTATAATTTTGAAACTTTTAACAATTTTAAAAATAGAATTTATCAAACGTAAGTCAAAATAATTTTATTTTTATTATTTTCATACTAATTATTTATGTCTACAAAATTGAGTTTTCAATTTCGTATACCAACTTATGTGACAATTAATTTGGTAAATTATTTTATTTATTCTATGTTTTTATAACAAATAATTTACATATACAAAATAATATGACAGGATATAATTGGATAAATTAATATAAAAATTAAGTTAATAAAAATCATATTAAATGATTGTAAATGATATGATAAGACAAAAGTAATATTACGTTATTTTATATACAAGACTTTATATAAACTCTATGTATGTGTGATGCAATTATTTTATAATTAAGACAATATTACTAAATTAATTATCATGCAAGTAAATTTGTATGTGTAATATTAGCCTTTTCAAAATTGAGTAAAACAATCTAAATTATCATTTTAAAGAGTGATATCTTATATAATTTTCTTATTAAGTAAATACGGTATTAATCTTTATAAGCTCTTTTGATATTTATCGGAGAAGAAGAAAAGCATATTTGAGACGTAACGTAACTGAGCCAATCTACATTCATCCTAATCCTAAACCTTAATGATTAAACAAATACAAGTTGAATGAGGCCCAGCCCAACGCTATCTGTACCGCAACAGCAAGGTCGGTAACAGTAACCCACCCAACCGAAAGCCGCCATGTAATGAACCAATACTGGCAAAACAGTAAATAGAAAGTTTATTGAGGGCAGTGAGTTTAACTTCACCGACTCATGGAGAGCGTTGGTTGGCAGATTAAAAGTGAAGTCTTAAATAGAGAACAACTCTAAAACAAACAAAATCGAGAAAAAAAAAAAAAAAAATCAAAACGATACCTAATAATAATCTTTCTCTCCTCTTGTTCGGCTTCGGTTTCGATTTCTTTTGTATTATATTTTACCATTATATCTTCGATTTAGGTATGGATTCGTTTCTTGTCTCTTTCAATTCGACATCGTCTTTTACTTTTCTTATGTTGTTTTGAACGAAACCTTAATATTTGTTACTGATTTTTGGTTCATCGTGCAGGGAATAAGCCAGTTCTCTTTTGTAAATCAAGATCCGACGAAATTAAACCGGTGAGGGTTTTTATTTTTTATTTTTAGGTTTATTATGGGAATTTATTTGTTTGTTTGTTTATGTAATTCACTTATTATTGTTGATTATTTTGATGCGTGAGTTTTGGATGCAAAATTGGAACTATGATGAGATTTATTTTAGATGGAATTGATAGAAATAGGAAGTTAGGGTGTTTGTTCATGATGTGAATTAGTGTTGAGGTTTGAATATAAAACAGAATATTTGTATTTGTTTCGAGTGTTCTGTATATTTATTTTGAGTTATTGGAATTTCTGTTATGGATTTGGTTTGTTTAATATGATGAATAATATACTTGTTATGGTTAATACTTGTGTATATTATTGTTTGTCTTTGGTCTGAAAAGTGTGGTTTGATTCTTTTTAGAGACTATATAAGGCTGGTCAATCATCTGCAAGCTTGCAAATCGGTAACAAATTGTTTTTCCCCAATATCGAAAATTGTCTCTCTATGAATTTAAGTCATGAACATGGATATTTATGAACATAATTTCAGTTATATTCACGTAGGTTCAAACTAATCTCCGGTGTTGAGGATGATATTCCCTTTAATTGTCACACTGAAGGACTTTTGTGCTATTCTTTTATGATTCCTTGACCTCCTGTTTGACATTTTCTACTTTGCTGATGCGTGTGAACTGTATATGTGTAGTATATCATTTTATTGTTGACATTCTTAAGGCTTTCTTGCTCCCAAGTGTTTTAGCAAGTTCACTCTGTTAAGCTATCTCGTTTATTCTGGTTGATATCAGCTAAGTCAGGTGCTGTATAGAGCACTCTTAACCTGAGGGCACTTGGTCAGTCTTGTTCTGTGTAGATCACCCACGCTCCTAGGTAAAAACAATCATGATTTATTGTGATAAATTGCTAATTAAATTTGGTTTATGCGGATTACTTCATTTCTTTTTCGTTTTACTTTTATTATTTTCTTCTTCTGGGAACACTTGAGAGCATCAGTTTTTATACTTTGTTGCCTGTATGCATGTCTTAATAGTATTTGTATGCATGCCACAGTTGGATTATATTTGTTAAGTGGTACATTATTTGTGTGATTTAGTTGTATATTGTAATGTAGATGGTAAGTTGATTTTCGTGCAGGAGAAAAGAAAAGATGGACTCACATGATGAGATAGGATGCCAAGCTCCAGAAGGTCCCATTCTATGCATTAACAACTGTGGCTTCTTTGGAAGTGCTGCTACCATGAATATGTGCTCCAAGTGCCACAAGGAAATGATCCTGAAGCAGGAACAAGCTCAACTTGCAGCATCATCCATTGGGAGCATTGTGAATGGCAGCTCCGGTGGGACTGAAAAGGATCCTGTTGTTGCTGGTAATGTGGCTGTACAAGCTGGACCTGTGGAGACTAATATCTTATCAACAAAACCATCCAGTGATTCATCCTTTGGCCAGAATATGGAGATGAAGCCAAAGGAGGGTCCTAACAGGTGTGCTTCTTGTAGAAAGCGGGTTGGTTTAACAGGGTTCAATTGCAGGTGTGGGAATCTCTTCTGTGCTGTTCACCGATACTCTGACAAGCATGAATGTCCTTTTGATTATCGAACTGCTGCAAGGGAAGCAATTGCTAAAGCCAACCCTGTGGTCAAGACAGAGAAGCTTGATAAGATCTAGTAGCCATGATCTGAAGTTAAGGTTTATGTAATGAATTACAATGCTTCTCTTCCTATGCATGCGTCTCCATATAAGTTGGCTGCTTGTCTTGTTAGGTGTCCTTTGTTGCTATAAATTGTTTAGATAATGATTTTTAGGACATCATTGCAGTTATATCTTCTTGTTAATTGGCAAGGAGAATTCCGTTGTTGGCTCCAGCGTGTAAGTCTCGATTTGTGCTGGTTTGATGGATATCTTTGTGGTTACTTTATAGTAGTGATTTCTGGTTGGTATGCATTTCTTCTAGTGGTAATGAAATATTGGTATTTGCAACAATCGCACTTCCTGTGTTATCCTGCCATTCTTCATTTCAATTTTCTTCTATAAGTTTATGTTGTGTTCTACACTTGCATTGTGTTGCCTCTTCATCGATTTGTTGGATTAGTTTCCAGTTGTTATATATGGATAAGGGGTTAGTCATCTGTCCATGGTCTGCTTTTATGTGGTTTGTGCACTTATCGTAAACTGACTAATATGTTAAAGTTTATTAATGCAGTTTCCAAAATATGAAGAAGTTGCTAATGTTCACAATTTATTGCAATACAAACCATATTGTGGTGAGGTTGATACTTAAACTGATAGAGGGAAGTTGGTATTATGGGTCACAAGACAAGGTGACCTATAACACCTAGTATGGCATGGCTTGAACTCCTCTGATAATCTGAGCCACAAGCATAGGAGTTCAATCTTTCTCTCTTTAACCTTGGGTCTTCAATTGGTGCAGAAGGGAGAATGAACTAGTGTTTGACTTTAAGGAGTAGATGGTGGTAGAGTAACTGTAGTTTCAGGGTGTGAAATTTTCACCTAAGATTCATTGAGCATGCAGTAGTACAATACTGACAATGGTGAGCCTAGTTGAACAACTTGGTGTTTTGGCCGAGTGGTTTTATCTTTTTCTCCCAAGTTGGCGAAATTATATCTAACGATCAATCCATTGCCTGGAATTATGCAAATAATTCAAAATTGCTCTAAACTCTTTCAAGTAAAGTTTAAAATTGGAAAACAATGGGAGACGTTGATTCTGTAATTATTTGGCAGTAAATCAATTTCAGTACTGATTTGGTTATTTTGTGCGTAATATAATCATCATACGCTGGGTTATTGCCAGCAATGAAATATGCAGTAATGTCTAGTTGGCAATGGGATATGAAAATCGAAAACATGTTTTTATTGTGGGTAATTTTTCAACGCCAATGGGTGAAGACTTTTGTAAATTGTCCTCCATTGCATTGTTGTCTGGTAAGTCATCACAATTCACAGCTCATGCTGTTTCTGATGGGAGTGATTTTGTGGATGATATTTTCCCTAACTAACGACACAGTGAAAGCAAAAGAAATGATTATTGAAACTTGTTGAGGAAGGTGGGTAGCAAAATCAATAAATAAGCGTCCCCACTTAGCACCGTCTCCAGAAAGAAATGGTTGTTTGCGTTGAAAGTAAGTGAATGAATAATATATATATATATATATATATATACTGATCTAGCTTTCTTCAACGCAATAAGTGAAACTTGATAATGCCATTGCTTAATGTCTTGTATTTTCATCATCGAAGACAAAAAGGGCTACCTAAAAATTCTTTGTTGGGACTCGCTTACTTCTTTCTTTTATCTAGGGAATTATGTTAACAAATTATAGCGCAAACACCCATGACTATCTCTTCTCTACACATGTATACAATTACAGTGCATTATCTATTCAATGGAATAAAAAAATATTCCACGAATATTGCCAAAGGGAAAAGAACAATTCCCTTGGATGCTCCAAACTTTGTTTATTTTCTCTTTGATCTAAAAAGTTGACCCTTGAACGAGTACAAAACTTTCGGAAAGTGACATTTTTAATTGTAACATTTTCTTATTAAAATATTCATTAAACGACAAAAGGGTTGAACACTTCTTTCAAGTGGCTGACATGTTCAATTTTTAAGTCCCTTAAGCTATCAACTAAACGAGCTTGTGATTTGATATTTGCTATATATATATATATATATACTCTTCGAGGTCACATACTTTTTAAGTTTGATAATTATGTATTGATCCAATAATATTATTCACTCAATATCAACCATTAGATTTATCAGGGTTGATTGCTATTTTGCCTTAGTAACATCACCATGGGTGTTGCCTAAAAGTTGTAGCTAGTAAAGGATCTTTTATGTTACTCTAACCCAGGAGAATAATAACCCTTGGATCAATAATTTAATGGCTCGCCATGTTTGCTTGAATTATGATTCAGTAATGTTAATATGAATATGTGATAACATGTNCTCATCTAGCTTTCTTCAACGCAATAAGTGAAACTTGATAATGCCATTGCTTAATGTCTTGTATTTTCATCATCGAAGACAAAAAGGGCTACCTAAAAATTCTTTGTTGGGACTCGCTTACTTCTTTCTTTTATCTAGGGAATTATGCTAACAAATTATAGCGCAAACACCCATGACTATCTCTTCTCTACACATGTATACAATTACAGTGCATTATCTATTCAATGGAATAAAAAAATATTCCACGAATATTGCCAAAGGGAAAAGAACAATTCCCTTGGATGCTCCAAACTTTGTTTATTTTCTCTTTGATCTAAAAAGTTGACTCTTGAACGAGTACAAAACTTTCGGAAAGTGACATTTTTAATTGTAAAATATTCATTAAACGATAAAAGGGTTGAAAACTTCTTTCAAGTGGTTGACATGTTCAATTTCTGAGTTCCTTAAGCTATCAACTAAACGAGCTTGTGATTTAATATTTGCTATATATATATATATACTCTTCGAGGTCACATACTTTTTAAGTTTGATAATTATGTATTGATCCAATAATATTATTCACTCAATAACAACCGTTAGATTTATCAGGATTAATTGCTATTTTGCCTTGGTAACATCACCAGGGTCGTAGCATGGTGTTGCCTAAAAGTTGTAGCTAGTAAAGGATCTTTTATGTTGCTCCAACCCAGGAGAATAATACCCTTGGATCAATAATTTAATGGCTCGCCATGTTTGCTTGAATTATGATTCAGTAATGTTAATATGAATATGTGATAACCTATAAGGGAAGGAAGTCCAAGGGTTAAGTAAACTACCCCTCATATTGAATGGATGTAAGATCCGCTGATGCCTATGGTGATCCATTTTCTTAACTAGATCTCAAGTGTGGCAGCTTGAGTAGCTCTCCCAAGGTCCCACTTACGGGTGACTATTCTCCTCAGGTCACTCCGTCCGGCTCTAATACATATCGTACAAACCAATTGCATATTATTCATCCTTAAATTTGGTTTCTAAAAGAACAAAACTCAAGGGTTAGTAAACTACCCACTAATCCCCGGTATTTAGTGGATATGAGAATCCCAAAATTTGTACAGGATGAACTAGAGAGAGAAATGAGTAACCATGACCATAAGCAGAGGTAAAATATTTGATGGTAGAAGTTAGCAATGATGGTTGCCCTTTACTTTCCCGCTTTGGCTGTAAAAGTCAAAACATTTAAATGTAAAGTCAACTGGCATAAAAGTATCAAAAATCAAAATTGACATTTTCACCCCAACCCCAATGACTTTGTGCGGATCCAGTGGACTACAGCCTTCACATGTCATGTCACTCTAATCTGAACCCATTTCTGATAAAAGCCAATCTTTAACTATATTTCTGTATATATTTTTAATAACTGGGACTGGGTTCATATCTTTGTAATTTGAATTGATTTCTATATAAAGTAATAGAGAGAATTTGAATAGTTTTAAGGGTAAATGTTGGGTATTTAGCAGTAAAAATGATTGCTGGGTTAGTAGAGATAAAATAATAGTTAAAAGTAATTATAATATGTTAATGATGGGTTATTATATTTATAGGTTGTATCCCATTACTTTTAACTAATTAAAATATGTGAAATTGTTGTGTATTATTTGAGATAACAAATACAATATTAAATTGGTTGATTTTTTATGATTGCTCTCTCTCATGCAATCTGATTGGAATATGAAATAGTCCACCTCTTTACTGGATTTGTTTGGAATGATGACGTCGTCGTTTTTATACCTCTTTTATTATTTTTATTTATTATTTATAAAAAAACACATCTAAAAGAAATGGCAATTGGGATGAGATTTGAGATGACAAGATCTCCACCGTCAGAATGAGGGAAGTGGTCCGTGACCATCATCCCTCTCTGATCCAATCAAATGTAGACCTCACTTCTGTGGAACATCAGCGGTAAAAGCGGGTGTCCTCAACTTAAACTATAGGATTAATTCTCTTTAGTTTTACAAAATAGTGTATTTATTTAATAAAATAAAATGGAAATAATAAATGCATGATACAATAACAGTACGATGAGTCAATAAAAGTCGTTTTCCTTTCTCGAAGCTCAGGCTCAGGCTCAGGCTCGGGCTTTGTCTTGTCTTTCGCAGTATCTTTTGTCATCACTTAGCTCACGAGATCTTTTTGAGTTCTGCATTATTCTTTTTCCTTTAATTTCCAGCTTATATTCAAAATATGTTCTTGATCTCTTTTTTCGAAAAACAAAGATATATTTCTGTTTAATTAATAAATAAATAAAAAAAAGTTGAAGAGTAGAGACTTTATTTGGTCGGTGATTTGTCAAATCATTTTGTATTCACTGAGAAATAAATGAATGTTGTCTTTAGGCCAGAAGCAAGGAATCTGGTAATTAATGAACACAAATTATTAGCAAAATGAATTAGTTGATGGACAAATTAATCTATATAAGATACACTGATTTCTATACAGTATATGTACTTACTTTATTTTCTGCATGTTGGGTGATAAAATCACTTCTCTTCATCATGTAACTTTGCTATCTATATTATATTATATTGTAGAATAAATTATCTATAAAATCAACAAAAGTCATGATGAATCTTCTGTAACTTTGTATAGATGCCTTTTAAGTCACACTCCCACAGTCTCACAGGCTCACTTCACTGGTATATAGAAAAGATTGAAAAGAACAGACCTCAAGCTCTTTCTCAGTCTCCTCCAATGGCTAAACTCTGCCCATTTTCATTTCTTTTGTCTCTGTTGTGCTTTACATTCTTCACTACTATCTCTGTTTCAACTGATGAAGCTGATATTCTTCTCTCCTTCAAGGCCTCCATTGTTGATTCCAAGAACTCTCTCTCAAGCTGGTCTAATACCTCAAGTATTCACCACTGTAACTGGACTGGTGTCACTTGCATTTCTGCTTCTTCACTCACTGTAACCTCTATCAACCTTCAAAGTTTGAATCTTTCTGGTGAAATCTCATCTTCAGTGTGTAAACTTTCTGGTCTTACTAATTTGAACCTTGCTGACAATCTCTTTAACCAACCTATACCACTTCACCTGTCTCAGTGTACTTCTTTGGAGAATTTGAATCTAAGTAACAATCTCATTTGGGGTACCATCCCAGATCAGATTTCTCAGTTTGGTTCTATGAAATTTCTCGATTTAAGCAGAAACCATATTGAAGGAAAGATCCCAGACAGCATTGGCTCATTAGTGAATCTGCAAATTTTCAACTTGGGAAGCAACTTACTTTCAGGTAGTGTTCCTTCTGTTTTTGGAAATTTTAGTGAGCTTGTTGTTCTTGATTTGTCGCAAAATGTATATTTGGTGAGTGAGATACCTACTGATATTGGCAAGCTTGAGAAGCTTGAGCAGCTTTTTTTGCAAGGCTCTGGTTTTCATGGTCAAATTCCTGGTTCTTTTGTGGGGTTGCAAAGTTTGTCCCTTTTGGACCTTTCACAGAACAATCTAACTGGTGAGGTTCCTCGGACACTTGGTTCTTCTCTCAAGAAATTAGTGTCTTTTGATGTTTCACTGAATAAGCTTTCAGGTTCATTCCCAGATGGTATTTGCAATGCTAAAGGCCTTACAAACCTTAGTCTCCATAAAAATTTCTTCAATGGTTCTATTCCCACCTCTATTAGTAACTGCTTGAATCTTGAGAGGTTTCAGGTTCAAGACAATGTCTTTTCTGGTGATTTTCCTGATAAAATATGGTCATTCCCCAAAATTAAGCTCATTAGAGCTGAAAACAATAGATTTTCTGGAGAACTACCAGATTCAATATCAATGGCGGCTCAGCTGGAGCAAGTTCAGATAGATAACAACAGCTTCACTAGTAAAATTCCACAGGGTCTTGGTTTGGTCAAGAGCTTATATAGGTTCTCTGCTTCTGTGAATGGTTTCTATGGTGAGCTTCCACCCAATTTTTGTGATTCACCTGTTTTGAGTATCATAAATCTCTCCCAAAATTCACTTTCGGGTCACATTCCAGAGCTGAAAAAGTGTAGGAAGCTGGTCTCATTGTCACTGGCAGACAATAGTCTTACTGGAGAAATCCCCCCATCCCTAGCTGAATTGCCGGTGTTAACTTACCTTGATCTATCGGATAATAATCTAACCGGTCCAATCCCACGAGGGCTTCAAAATTTGAAGCTTGCCCTCTTCAATGTTTCCTTCAACCAATTATCCGGTGAAGTTCCTTATTCCCTCATCTCAGGTCTCCCTGCCTCGTTTCTGCAAGGGAATCCAGGGCTTTGTGGCCCGGGATTGCCAAATTCTTGTCATGATGACCAGCCAAAACACCATAGTGCTGGCCTTACTACATTGACATGTGCCATGATTTCTATAGCATTTGCTCTTGGAACTTTAATGGTTGCTGCTGGCTTTTTTGTGTTTCGTCGATATTCCAAACAGAAATCTCACGCAGGTGTTTGGCGTTCGGTGTTCTTTTATCCGCTTAGAGTCACTGAACATGATTTGGTTTCTGGAATGGATGAGAAAAGTGCTGTAGGAAATGGTGGACCTTTTGGTAGAGTTTACATTTTAAGCCTACCAAGTGGTGAACTAATTGCTGTTAAGAAGCTGGTAAATTTTGGGTGCCAATCTTCAAAAACCTTGAAGACTGAGGTCAAGACATTAGCCAAGATCAGGCATAAGAACATCATTAAAATTCTGGGGTTTTTCCATTCAGATGAGTCAATCTTTCTGATATATGAATTTCTACAAAAGGGGAGCTTAGGGGATTTAATTTGCAGACAGGATTTTCAGTTGCCGTGGAGTGTTAGATTGAGGATTGCCATTGGGATTGCTCAGGGATTGGCATACCTTCACAAGGATTATGTTCCACATTTACTTCACAGAAATATCAAGTCAAAGAACATTCTCCTGGATGCAGATTTTGAACCAAAGCTCTCAGATTTTGCTCTCGACCGAATTGTGGGAGAAACTGCATTTCTATCAACCATGGCTTCAGAATCTGCACAATCCTGTTACAACCCACCAGGTATATGATCTGATTGAAGCTCATTGAAATCATTACATAATTTTTTTCTAGCTGCGTGCCTGCATAGTTGTGTACTACTTACAACATGTCCACTCAGGTTTTACTCAAATTACTGCAAATTTTCTGTATTTTATATGTTTGTATGTTAGAGGAGTGGAGTTCTATACCTTCTTGACAAACTTCTCAAGAAGAATTTGACTTATAAATTGAGTTTTCTTTTTTACTTTCTAATTTGAAATCCGTTTGCTGTTTTGAATTCTGGACTCACTGGTGTTACAGATGACTTAAATGGGTTCTTGTTGCATAGGCTATTGCTTCCTAGTTTCTTCTTGGGAGATTCTTTCAGTAGCCAAACTAGTTTCACATGTTAATGTTATTGATTGCTGTTCAGAAGTTGGAACTTTAATCGAAGTCATCAATAAATTTTTACTGCAAACTTACATAATTTTATTACTTCCAAGTGCCTTTGAAACTCAGCCACTCCCTCACAATGCCATCACTTGTCATGATTTTGGTAAATGAGACATGGCTACATGCCTGAACCATATACATGTCGCGATAATGTTCTGTGATTTATTATCTTGAAATACTTACAAGCTTTTCTGTTTGATTGCAGAATATGGATACAGTAAGAAAGCTACTGAACAGATGGATGTTTACAGCTTTGGTGTTGTGCTATTAGAGCTCATAACTGGTCGACAAGCTGAGAAAGCAGAACCAGAAGAGTCTCTTGATATCGTGAAGTGGGTTCGAAGGAAAATCAACATTACGAATGGGGTATTTCAAGTTCTAGACCCGAGAATACCGAATTCTTTCCAACAAGAAATGCTAGGAGCTTTAGAAATTGCTCTGCGTTGCACTTCTGTGATGCCAGAAAAACGACCATCGATGTTTGAAGTTGTGAAGGCACTTCAGTCCCTCAGCTCAAGGACTGGCTTTTCAAATATGGAGCTCTCTACTTTGGAGGAGCACTCACTTCCTGTCTGAAAAATGAACCAAAGATTACCCAGTTTTTGTTTTGTTCTGTATGTAAATCTACATCTCTTGTTTTGAGTTTTGACCACTTCAGATTGGAAGAAAAATATACTTGGCCATGGACTTCAGTGTTATTTACCAGAATTGTTTGGGATTTTGATCAATAGTAGTGCAAGAAAAATATAATTTATTACTATTCATTTCTGTGTCATCTCAATCAATATTTCTATCAAATACTATTCTTAAGGGTATATTTAAATATTCCAATGAATATTCAAATCTCCTGGGCTGCTTAAAGCATCATGAGTACATGAACCATTCTTTATTTGAGCGTTGCCTTAATGGTATCCAAAGCTAACGCTGTTACTTGCAAATTATATTAAGATAGAAATGGTAAACTAATTTATGCATCAATAAACAAATCATCTTCTCCTAAAAAGTTGTGAATCTCAGGTTCAAGTTCAAAGAGTTGCTTCAAGTTAAGAGGCGATGTAACATTAGTGCTTCTTCCACTCCATAACAGTTCAGAAAAACTGAGAGTAGGATGGTCACCACTCATTAGGATCATTGCATAATTCATATTCTCCCAACACTCCACAGTCACTTCCATGATCATTGTTGTGTGATCTTGCTAATGCTGATTTTACTTTTTCACATTGGATGCTGGTAAGATTGTAATTTTGTCTCACTTCTAGCAAGCAACCCAAGGGTGCAAGATTTTGAAATGCAAATCTCCTTCCTCCTTCCTCCAATTTTTATATATTTCCTAGGTAGACTGAGTTCATTAGTATTTTCGCACCAAGTTGTTGTTTGAACAAACTTGTCACATTCTTGTATAAACTAAGCTGTATTCCAAGGTTAAGCTGAAAATCTATAGTTTCAAGCACGGTCAACCAATTACTACCGGAAAAATGTGATACACTAAATTATATAATCACGTAATAATTTGCTTCAATTAGACTTAATCTGATTTAAACAACTTGCGTACCGTTCCTGGATCAGTATCAGCACTTGCAAAATTGGCTCCATGAAGGAATCGATGTATTGTTTCCATAAACTTAAGTTTACCTTCAATTCAGGGCTGCAAATATTTATGAAAGCGCGCAACAACACTCGCACCATATTCACATGCATCTCCTTTCAGAAAATTAGATAATAAAATTGGTTAATTAGTTGATCCATTAGTCATATGGACCAACGATATTGCGGTTGATTGCTTCGAAGGCTTCTTATTAAAGTGAAGAACATCTCTTCTAGAATTAGAAATTAGTTGATGCTCTATCACCAAAACAACTTCAGACATTGATAGCTCATCGTTAATGGGTAATATTATACTTATAAATAAATTTTACAAAAATCTTCATGCAAAATGATGTGATAAAAAATGAATATAATGAGTTTGACTTTTTGTTTCACTCTTTCATTCGTTTTTTGTATCTCATTTTGTATGCAAATTTTTGTAACTTTGTAATTATAGTATTATTGTTTCTCAATATTGCGTGTTTAAGTATTATACTACTTTTTATAACATTTAGAATTTTTACATTTATCATTCCAATTTTCTATATATTTCCTTTCATGGTGTTGAAAATTAGGAACTAAATAGATAATTTTCTTTTAATTATTTAACTTGAAATAGTTGTAAGAATTTTTTTTTGTTAGGAATAATAGATCAAAATCATGAATGATATAATTAGTGTTTATATAATTCAGCCCATACATCACATAAGTATATTTTACCGGTGTGTAAGTAAATATAATAAAGGTTGAAAACCAGATTCTTTACCATTTGATTAACGAGCTGCTCACAATTGTAGGCAAGAAAAATGACACAAAATGCATCACCTGGCTGTACATATATTCATATGCATGAGTACAGTATTCAGCCACTCGCTGCCAAGAATTTAATCTAAGAGGAACCAATGACCATAAAATGAGTAAAAAACCAAAAAAATGAAACAGATTATTGGACATTGTTTCAGTTAGCTGCTATAATTTGAAATAAATAACATTACTAAATGCACCATTCTTCCACCTTATTATAGAATTCAAGTGTCGTATATTTCTCTTTTATCGTAAAACCACTTGAATATAGGCTTATGATGAAGTAGTCATTTCAAATGACAATGCACCCACTTTACAATTATAAATTCTCCTTCTGCGAGAATGCTTTCAACATAATCTCCATTATGCATTAATGGATTCTTAGTATGTGCCTTCCATTTTACTTTCTCAATGGACGAGATGCTACACTCTCTAACGGGGTGAACATGAAATTCCCAGAAAACATTATAGCTTCCTTGCCTGCCCGGTGAACTCTCAAATTGTCAAATAAATATGTTGATGCGTGATTTTTACACCAATGAAACGCACGTGTGAAATGCTGAATTGGTCTAGAAGACACATGTGAATATAAAGGAAAATGAGATTAAATACAATGGAGACAACTTTTAAAGTAGTTCGGATGCTAAGGTAGCAAGTCCTACGTCCACTGATATTTTATTAATGATAGGGGTCAGGTCGCATTAGCTGACTAACTTACAAATGATTGTACAAGCGAGTGAATGCTATAAATTATAGAGAGAGAGTAGCTAATTAAGAGTAAAAATGTGCGAATCCCTTGAATGAGAGAGGAACTCTCAATTTATAGTGGGATACCTTGAGGAAATAATTACTGGATCTGTGAGTTGGTACGATTATCCGTGCAAATCCTTCTTTATGTCACATTACCCACTTTCTAGAGTGATTTGCGCGATTTGGAGCACGGATTGGACACGTGGGATCACCACAGATCCTGGCTGGCCTGGCGCGCGCCCACTATTATGATAGAAGCAGGCTACGGGTGTACCCATGTTCTGATTTTTGCAGGCTGACTGGACCTCACGTCAGCCCTATATTTTTCAGGCATAACAGAAGTCCCCTAGTTTTTAAGGTTTGAAAATCGAACCTTGGAAACTATAAGTCATGCCGCGATTGGATGATCTATAAATTCTGGCGATTCCGACCTGTTTGAAAGGAGGTCGGGGTAGCACTCTTTGCGAACATGACCTTGCATGGTCATTGCTTGCTAAGGATGAGCGACCTGACTTCGTCAGACGTTACCCGTCGTGCTTTTAGTATGGGTGCATTTAATGAATCAGTCTCTGCTCTGACAGACGTGTCTTGCGTGTGATAAGCGCCAGCCAGGCGCATTAAATGCGTTATATGCTAACACGGTATCACTTTATCAGAGCATTAAATGCGTGACATGCCGAAACGACGCCCCTTATTGAGCATTAAATGCAGATTGGGGCGTAATTAATGCTGAGAGAGAGAGAATGCCGTCGTTTGAGTTTTTCAACGGAAAAGATAAAGATTTGATCTTCTTCAATCGTGGCGCTCACTCTTCCTCACTGATCTGTGACACGTGGCAGTGATCAACGGTGAGAAGTATTTGTCGCCTAAACGTCGTTTTGATTCCGAGAAAAAAAAATGTTGTCTCGCGCTCTATAAAACTCAGATCTTTCTCAGCCAATGTCACCATACTGTCTTTTTTATAGAGAGCAAGAGATTTTCGCAAGCTTGGAGTCTTGGCCTTCCAAACCAGAGTTTTTCCGATATTCAAAGCAGAAGCCATTTTCGTACTCCGAGAGGTAAGAACCTTTCTCTGTTTTTTGTTTTCTTATTCCCGTGGTTGGTAGATGGCGTTAGTCTCCCGGTAACTCATCGGAGACAAGACGCTCATGTCGGGTTCGAGCCATGAATGGTGGCTCGAATCATTATGTTAGGGTTTTCTCTAGGTTTTTAGAGAGTTCCCTTCCACGTCATCGTACGGAGTAGCGTACAATGGCTAAATGACCCCCCTTGCTTGTCGCTTTTGCAGACTAATAGAATAGACCCCTCAACGACCAGATCCGAGGAAGGAACCGGTTCGTCCTCGCAGGATGCTCGGAGTGTCACTTCCGAAGTCTACTCGGTACTTACCGGGGAAGAGCTCGAGAGGGTAATAAAACAGTACGGTATCAAGGTGAAAGTTTTCCGCTATGTGGGACACTCATCGCGATATCCATCCCGTAGGTTGGCCACGATCTCCGAAGAGATCATCAAGGGTGGGGGGTTGATCCCCTTCCACCCTTTTGTCAGGTCGATATTGGATCACTTCGGGATAGTGCCGATACAGCTCACTCCAAACGCGTATATGATTGCTGTCGCGATGTACATCGCTTGTCGTGAGAACGGGCTAGGCGAACTGACCGCTGCGGAGCTCGACTGCTCGTATTTCTTGAAAAAGAGTAAGGACAAGGATTCTTATTACTTGTCCAGGCGACCTACTATTGCCGAGGGGATACACAGCTACCCTAGCAACGCGGGGGCTTACGAAACGAAGTTTTTCTTCTTTCGTTACGATGGCCATTGCCGCTTTCAGGACCCGAGGAGGCTTTTTTCCCTTGGCGAACTCATTAAGTTCGGAATGCGTTTTTCTTTCTAACGACCTATTTCTTTTCTGGCAGTTAACAAGACGACCGACTTAGGGCTGCTCTTCGACCCGGACAGGATTGTATCTTTCGGCTTCCTACCCGAAGCCAGCCGCGACACGAAAAAGCTCGTGACGACCGCGAATCTACGAAAATACGGTTTTTTCAACGCAAACGCGTCTTTAGAGCCCCCATTGAGTATGTCTAGCTAACTTGTTCTTTTATGGTCGTGAAGTGAAATATTGTTGCTAATGATGCTTGCATGCAGCGACCATGCCTCCGAAGAAGCCAGAGTAGTCGCGACGAAGGCAAATCAATTTTCCTCGATCAAGGAAAGCCAAGGCGACCGATGCGGCTCCTGTCGATCCCCCGGCTGAAGGTGTCACACTGGGCCCCCCAGTGCGACCTGTTGGAACTTCCCAGCCCTAACCTGACGCACCAATCCGAACCGCGAAGGCTTCCCAGCCATCGACAGTTCGCCTGAGGCTAAAGACAACGGCTCAGCGACCAAAGAAGAGAAGGCAAATTCAAGTCGAAGAGTCTGAGACCAAATCTGAGGGCGATCTACCCGGGAGGTTGCAGCCAGATGTTGGGAGGAGGTCGGGTAAGGAACCGACTGGCGAAACGACCACTGCGAAAAGCGTGGAGGATACCCTAGTGCTAGACTCACTGGGAAACCTGCCGGAGTACCTACAGCCGATAGTCTACACTTTGCTAGAGTGCAGACTCTCGGAGGCATTTG